CCTCCCTTCCTCAAATCCCACCCTCCTCAGGCTTCAATCCCAAAATCTCCCAGTGATTCCCAACACACAGCTGGAAACCCTAATTGAGGTGAGGGGCTCTCCCTCCTTGGAGGCCTTCAGGAGGTAAGGCCTGCCTGTTTCCAGGGCCTTTGAAGGGGGCTGAATGGAAGCGGGGGGCAGATTTGGGGGTGGCGATTTTATTTTATTTTTTATCCTTCACTGGAGATGTCTTCACTAATGCTCCCTCTAAGCTGTGGAGTCTTGTGAGCAAAAATTCTGCTTTGTGAGCTACTGGCATTAAAATGGTGAGCGAGAGATTTTTCTGCTGCATACGTTCATCTGCTTTGGAGCCATCCTCCCTGAGCGAAAACAAAAAATGTGTGAGCCGGAGGCTAAAAAACTGTGAGCTAGCTCACACTAACTCAGCTTAGAGGGAACACTGGTTTTAACTATTATTGTAAGCTGCCTTGAACCAAGGGGAAAGGGGAGGGGGATTTAAAAGTTTAAATAAATAAATAAACAAACACAAGCAGGGACTTGCAGTACTCTCAGTGGGGGGATCCCTGCCCCCATCGCTGCTAATTTCCCACATGGCTCAGTGGGGCGAGAGACTTGTGGGGGGAAGACTCTTGAGGGGGGGAATCCCATATCTCCACCAGTGAAAAGCCGGGCGTGGCTAGTAATTAGCTCCCTGCCGCTGCCAGGGCGACTGCTTTCATTCCCTGCCACTGCTGCAGAGCCCCTCACAGCCCCTGACATCTTCTGCCACCACAGCCGAGCCCAGCGTGACTGCCGGCTTCCTCCATGGCTGCTGCTGAGGCTGACGTAAATGCTGAGGCCGGTGTAGTTCTCTCAGAGCTGCTCTCTCAGGAGCAGTTCTCGAAAGAGCTCTCTCAGCCCCACCTGCCTCACAGGCAGTGCTCCCTCTAACCTGAGTTAGTGTGAGCCAGCTTACAGTTTCTTAGCCTTCAGCTCACAGGTTTTTGTCTTCGCCCAGGAAGGATGGCTCCAGAGCAAAGCAATTGATGCAGCAGCCAAATCGCTCGCCCACAACTTAAATGCCAGCAGCTTCTTCTTCTTTCTTCTTCTTAGAGTTGACCCTGGTTAGTATTTCGATGGGAGCCCACTGAGGAAGTCCGGGTTCGATACGCAGAGGCAGACAATGGCAAACCACCTCTGCCCTGAACCGAATGGCCCAGGTTAGCCCTGTCTTATCAGGTCTTGGAAGCTAAGGAGGGCTTACTCTGGTTAGTACTTTTGATGGGAGCCCACCAAGGAATCCCTGGGATGCTTTACAGAGGCAGGCCATGGCAAACCACCTTTGAAAACCTCTTGCCTTGAAAACCCTACAGGGGTCTCCAGATGTCAGCTGTGGCACTTTCCCGTCACAAGTACATATACATGAACCAATTCACAGCCCAGATTATGAAAGTTCACGAACGGCTGTATTTAGACAACATGTAATTGGAGATTTTTGACTCAAGCATCCATTAGCACGGCAATTAAAAGGGTGTATTTGAACTCTTAACGAGACGATGGATGGCTACGTTCACCTACTTTGCCTCCAGCGCAAGCGCAAACACTCCAGCCGCCTCCGGTGCAGCTGCAGATGTTCCGGAGTGACGCAGCGTACAGTTGCCGTATAAATCTGTCGTCGCCTGCAAGAGTGTATGGGAAAAGTTAATTAGCACAAATCCATTCTCCTACACACGGGCTAGACAGATCCCCGTAGGAAATACACAATGTCAGGTAGCCCTGTCATAGATCTGGAATGTGGAGGGGTGCCCTCTGTTTTTCCGTCTCAGTTCTCTCTGGCTCACCAACAGTTTGCTATCTTATGCTTGACCTTGTAGCTGTTCCAGCTGCAGTTTAGTCGGCTGGGAAAGTTAACGGCTTTTTGTTTTGCCCGCTTGCTTTGCCTGCACACATGAGACATATCCATTGGCTCATGCTTATATGGGGGGGATGTTTGATTTCAGTATAAGTCAGAGGCCCTAGTACTGATGGCCATTCCTGACACAAGCTGTACACGTGTTCTTTAGTACTGGACTCATCAATAAACAGTTATCTTCTTATGAAGATCTGTGTGGTGTGACCTGACTAAGGATCCTGACAAACTGTCTGCTACCCCGCATAGGGCTTTACTGTTATCCACTTAAAACTCCTTTCAACAACCGGGCAAAAGTAAAAAAAGCAAGTAGGGGAAAAAGCGGGTAAACCCTCCATCCTGCATCAGCGATGCAAAATTCAATCAGACGCTGGCTGCCGAAGCAGACACCACTAAATGATCTGTTTTGCAGGCCGACGGAGTGCCGATTGTTCCGCTTCTTAGCATAATTGGCTTTCTGTTTGCCGCGGCAGGCAAACTTTTCCGTAGCACGGTCACCGAGAGACATTATGTACACTTTCTGTCCAATTCTCTGTATTCGCTAGACAGTTATTAAATAAGCACATGATGTGCTGTTATGTAAGCACAGACAGCTGAAGTGTCATAAAAAGCTAATGCAAACTAATTCCTCTTTTCCCTCTTGATGTTCCACCTTATTAGACTGGAACCTTAGGCAGTGTCCATTATTGTGGGCAGGATTAACCATAGCTGGCAGCAGGGCCGATGTCAAGTTTGGGGGGTTAGGCAGGGGTTAGGCAGGAACACTGCCCCTTTATGCCTTCCTTTCCACCCCCACTTAAAATAAAAACATGCTTAAAACATTAGTTCTGTAAGCTGCAAACCTGCTTTTGATTTATTGACATTCGCCACAGAAATCTCAGGCTCAGTGTTCTGAGTCTAGGACCCAGGTTAAAACATAGGTCCCGGTCACACGGGCCGGAAAATGCGGGGGGGGGGCTGTTTGCCCTGGAGCAAAATAACGCGCGGCCGCCCGATCACACGTCCCGTCGAGGTCCAGTGGCTAGGGGGTGAGGTGGCGATCACACGGCTATCCTGCAGTGCGGCAAAGAAGCGGCACGGCGCGATCACACCAGCAATCGCTAGGTACCGCTTCCATGGAAAACGCGCATAAAAATGTTTTAAATAAATAAATACTAGGGGCATGAGCTATGCGGTATTCTTCTGACATACAAGGTCACCATTTTGTGTGAATAAGGCAAGGCACCTATTTTCCAGCTCCTGGCCCTTGTGCATCCCGAAGCTGGAAAATACATAAATCCCACCTGCTCACACAAAATGGTTGCCACATCTATTAAAAGGATTGGGTGCAGTGCCCTCTACTGGTAGCAAGGTAGGAGTGCCAAAGTCGCAATGGCTGCCCAAAGGGGCTTACAAAAACCAGCCAGATTTGATCAGTGTTAGTTTTAGCACCGAAGGGCAAGAAAAAGGGGACCGAACTAACTAACTAACTATCACGACGGCACCACTTACCACACCAGCTTCAGGATTTCTCTTTCTCCCGTTGCTAAATGTGGAGGCCAAAGTAGAGGAGCAGCTTTCGTCATATAAAGCAGTCCGGCCGTCATTTATCGCCGAGTTGATGGAAATGGTCCACATGCTAGACGCGTAGCCATCGCAGTTGCAGTCATCGTAACTTCCGCCGTCTCCAGAGGCCCACACATAGATGCTTCCCTTTCCACCACGGCCCTACAAGGAAGAAAAATAATAATAATTCCATGCATTACACTGTGCACACGGACAGACCCATTTGATTATGCACTCTGTCAAAGAGCCAGTGGTCCATCTAGTCCAGCATCCTGTCTCACACGGTGGCCAACCAGTTCCTTTGCACGGCCAACAGGGCAGAGAGGCTGAGGCCTTCCCCTGATGTTGCCTCCTGGCTCTGGGATTCAGAGGTTCAGTGCCTCTGGATGTGGAGGTTCCCCTCAGTCACCACGGCTAGTAGACACTGACACGCTTATCCTCCATGAATCTACTTAATCCCCTACGAAAGCTGTTTATTTCTGCGGCCATCGCTACATCCTCTGGCCGCAAATTCCACATTTTAATCAGTCTTGCTGTTAGAAACAGCTCGCCATTGCCTTCCTCTGCATAGCAACCCCTTCTTCTTTTTTAGGGGGTTGTCTCTTACTGATTGTGGCCAGCCCCACTTAGCCCCCCAAGCCCTGATTATCACAGCTAAGCTGGGCCGTTTGGCTTGCTGGGTTAAAGACAACCACCACCTAAAGAGACAACTGCATTGCATTCCATACAATCGCAATTAGGACTAATCGCAGCCACTTTCACAGCCTTTTGTGCTCAGAATGTTCCCAATTACCTCTTCATTTTCTTGGTACAGGAAAGATTTCTCCAGCAGAAAGTAAGGCACACGACAGGGAATCGATCGGAGAGATAACAGGAAGCGAGGAGGTGTTTTGTTACAGCGGACACAAAGCCCGTTGCTCTTGCTAGCAGCGAGGTTATTCATTTATCTATCTATTTATTTTTATATTTAATTAGATTTACTAGGCCGCCCTTCCCTACAAGTAGGGATCAGGGTGGTTTACATCAGAATAGGTAAAGGTAAAGGTTTCCCTTGCTCAAAAGCCAGTCGAATCCGACTCTAGGGATGCGGGGTGCTCATCTCCGTTTCCAAGCCGAAGAGCCAGCTCTGTCCGAAGACGTTCCCGTGGTCATGTGGCCAGCATGACTAGATGCCGAGGCACACGGAACGCTATTACCTTCCCACCAAAGTGGTACCTATTTTTCTACTTGCAATTTCTTGCTTTTGTACTGCTAGGTTGGCAGGAGCTGGGGCCAGAGACGGGAGCTAACTCTGTCACGCGGCACTCGGGTCTCGAACTGCCGGACGACTGAT